GGAGACCTGGGCAGCAGATATAAGAGACTTTTTTACACCCTAGATACTTCAAATATATGAGTACACCCCACCATACACTAACAGGTCCTGACTAGTATCTATTAATGTACAAGATTACTTGTACAATAATAGATACTTGCACAAGATTATTAATGGCAGATAGACCTCAGTTTTCTGAGCCGTATCAGTGATGCCTGAACACATGTTTCATAGCTGGTCTTCACACATAATAAAAGTCCCACATGTTTTGGAAATGTTGGCTTTGCCAAGCATGTGCAGAACATCCTGTGTATCCTGTTCTTCCATGCTCTCATTCTGTAACCATAATGTCCACATTACTATGTCCAAAAAACCTCAAAAGAAAACATGGAAGAGCTATATATAGCTAACAAGGATATTTTGGATCCTTTTTACATAATCCAGAAATTAAAAATTATGAACAGACCTAAGCAAGAGATGAGTAGAGGCAGAAATGGTGAAGGCAGAGATGAGGGGGCAGGAGGGCTACAGGGCTTGTGATGAGAACAATTAAGAGTCCAGGGATGCTGAATGTGAGGTGGAGGATACATCAGCAAGGCAGGAAGAGGATTAGTTTGGGCAGAAGGATTTGGCTTACTGTTCAACCTCTGTTTCCTCCAGTGAACATGTTTTATGCAACATGTAAAGCAATAAGGAAAACCCAAAGGAAGGGTATGTGATATAAGCCGCTTTGAAAGCCTTTTTAATAAAAGGAGGTTTGAGCTGAGGGCCTCGCAGAGCCTCTGCACCATTGTGCTGGTATTTCCACCTCGCAGAAGCATTCCCAGCCGCCCCAGCCAAGCAAACAAACAAACAGCTGCCATGCTGTTTGCGTTGTAGATGAACTCAGAAGAAAATACAGCTGTAATTAGTTGGCACACAGCTGTTGAATTGAATCCTTTATTGCCCAGCTAGTAGTGCACTGAAATGTGGCTGAAGCTGCAGTGGCTGTATTCAGAACAAGGGGTGCCACAGAAGGGGTTAACCATACACCTGTTTGCATGTTCATAATGTAGGATTTTTCCTGAGCACATTATTAGTCTGTTAGCTCATTTAGAGGCCATAATGAAGTCATTATGATGCCACCAGTATATTTTGCCAGAAAGCTGGCAATCTTTAATCTGCTTCCTCTACAGCATCTCACAAAGGAAGGGAGAAACCAAAACACTGATTTCAACTAACAATGCATTTATTTGCTGTGCTGGGTCCCAGCACATGCTGAGAAGAAAATTCTTTTGTTTATTCCCCCCTCCTTCTGATGGATTTTACATAACAAGGAAGGCATAGAAGATCCCTTAATGCAACACAACGCCACTCCACCTTTTACATGCTTTTCATTTTCTCTGCACCTTTCTTTGACCTTTCAGCTGATGCAACCAAAGATGAAGTTAAAAGTTCTTTTAAAATAGCCCTGGTTAATGAGTAGCCATGCATATATACACATTGCCTCTAACTGCAGTGCCGCACTTGTACCTTCTTAGGAAGACAACAATATACACTCAGCAGGGATTTCTAGAAGTGTGTCAGGAAGCAATGGTTGGCATGCCAACAAAGAGGACTTTCTGGGATTCAGGGGAAGATAAGGCATGTGGATAAGAACAAAGACAAAAGGGCTAATCCACCCCAGTCCAGTTCCACACTCACCAGTGCATATGTGTTTACAAATGGGGCAAAATTTACTTTTGTCAATCCCTGCTTTTGTTCCCCAGCTAAACAAAACCCCACTGATACTTCAAGCTCACATGGGTAGCATTTAAGGCAGATGACCAAAGACGCTGAATGAGCTGAGTTTTCCCATTACCAACAGCTGGGATGTGGCTGGGTCATGCTACAGGGGAAGAGTTGAGCCATATCTATCCAGTCCTTCATGCATGAGAGAATGTATGTCTTACAGAGAGGTGAGCGGGTCAGGAAGTTGAGTTAAAGGGCAGGTGACTACTATGACTACTGATTCAAAGTTCATGAAAGCTTCCCACTATTTTCATCACCTAAAAAGCTCACCAGAGGGAAGTAATTTAGTACCAACTAAATACCAAAAAACTGCACAAGAAATCCTTCCATGATGCAGAAAGTTAGTAAATTCAATGGCTTGATCACAGTTAATGGCCAGATGTTCTGCTCCCTATCAAGTCCTCCTGAAGCTTCAGTTCAAACTCGTTTCTTCATACAATGGTAACTTTCTGAGTTACTAGATCATGCTGCACAAGGGTGACTTCTCACAAGAGCTCCCATCAGCCACATCCAATACTGATAACAGCACAGCAATGTTAGCAAAAAGCTGGGACACCAGCAGTTCTGAGCCCACCATCCTGCTTCAAGTGGCAAACAACTGCAGCACAACTGATACCTGCCTGCAGCTAAAGCTTGCAAATCCCCATTTTGTGATGGTACTCTCGTGTTAGAGCACTAGCAGCACAGCTGAATGCCAGCAGGGCTACTTGGTTTTGGTAGATGGTGCACAGCTGCCAGCAGCATGCTGACATGCTAGGATGATCTGAGCATCCCCTTGCAGCTGCAAAGGGATTCAGGGCTGCACCACAGCCCTGAATTACCACCCCTGTGCTCTCCTCCATTGCGTTCATGGTGCACTGCTGAGAGAGTTATTAGTGAGCCCTAAAGCAGGATAAAAATGAAGATGCATGCTCATGCCAAGGGAGCAGAGAGCATTAAGGGGCAAGGAAGGCACCGAGAGCAAGTGTGGATTGAAAGAGGAAGAGGCAATGAGTGTATCATGGGTTGCTTTTCAACAAAATAAATTATGTTCTCTGAATTTGTATGTGGCACATACTGCACAGCTGGGGAACTGTGATCAGATAAGAGGAAGAAGAATAGCCTTGGACTTAAAGCATGTGAGCAGAACCAGACAATGTGACTCTTGTAAACGGCTTTGACCACCCAGCTCACTGGTGGAGATCTTTGGGAGGGTTACTTGAAGCTGTAGCTTCCAAGATACATGGGCACTCCAGTGTGGAGGAAAGGAGAAAGCCAAGGATGGGGAAATTTTCATCCTTGGTCACTAGGAACAGCCAGCACAGTGTGTGCATGTTGCTCATATAGCAAAACTCTAGGCATTTTGCCACTCCTTGTGGTCACATCTAGCCCTTTGAGGCCCTGACAGCTTGTGTGCTCCCTCCTGCTGTGACCCAAGAGCCTGGGCATACAGGCTCCTTGCAGAGAGCCTGGGGACAATTAGATGGCTCTTGGAGATGGCCTTGAAAGCAAATGAACTGAGACTCAGAAGAACAGAGTTGAATGCCTGGGCCCAAGAAGCTGCACAGGGTATGAGTAGGACATCTGCACTCCCACCCTAAATGTTTTTCATGCTCTGTGTTTTGAACATGGCCTCAGAGCCATTGACCAATATTAGAGCTATGAACATTATTCTGGAGATGTTTCAACAGCCACTCTGTGCCTGACAGCAGGGAGTGCTGTACTCAGCACTTACACACAGAACATAAGCACTAGATCCATCCATTGCACACTGAAGCGATGGAGATACACTACACAGCTTCTACGGAGTTGGTGCAGAAGGTAAAACAAAACATAACTACGATTTCAACCCATAACACAAGGAGCTTTTGTGTTTATCCATGCTATGACCATGAGTGAAAATGAAGTAGCACCTTCTGGCCCTCAAGGTTGACAACCAGGCAGCTTGAAGCTCTCAGCAAAACTTGGAACCTACCAAGCCACCATTTTTAGGTGGGAAAATAAAAGAGGTGTAACCAGGGGGAAATTTAATAACAAATAATAACAGTAATAACAGATGTATGGCAGCCATTTAGAGTGGTGAAACCAAGACTTCTATTGAGGAACTTCGGCTTGGACTGGGGAGTAAAGTTGGCCCCAGCTGTAGCATGGGAGAGCTGTACAGCATGTTGGTGCTCCTACAGTGGTCAGATGGTGGTGGAGGGGTACCTGGGAAAGAGAGTGGTGGAAAGATGGATTTTTCATCACCACTGCAGAATGCATAGGCTTAGGTGCTTGAAGATCAGGAACATCAGCTTCTCTGGGCTAAATGCTTCATAGGTATCTGAGCCCACAGTTTTGAAAAGCCACTTGAATATTTTTCACTCCTGCACTTGCTGGCAGCACACTCAAACATTACCACCATTGATTTTAACAAGAGTTAGATAACCAAATACTGAATTGATACTATCAGCAGTCAGTCAAGAAGAGTCAAAGAGTGCAGGGAAATGAAGAGAGAGCTTCTGAGGTGCAGGTTAATCCCCTGATGCCTATGTCAGATTTCTATTATTAATACAGATTAATTACATTAATCATTATTTCCTAGCACTTTAAGAAGAAAATTTGCATGAATTTTTTGCTGGTCTTGTTAATCATGAAGCAGGTTATCACTAGAAACACTCCTAAATGAACTCACTTTTCAATTATGCTATGTATATATCCTATAGCTTGTAAATATCCAATGTGTAAATTACACTTTCATTTTTATCTCTCTCTATATATCCCTTTCATTCAAGATCACCTGAGGCCATGACATAGCCACATGCCTTAGCTACTGCATCAGCTGCAACTTTTCTGATGCTAGTATCATCTAGGCTTGAAGCCAGGTGTACATATGTGTACACTAAGACATCACAAACATATAGGAAAGAGCTATTTCTATACGAAGACTGTGTATGTTGAAAAGAGTAAACTTCAGTCTTCTCATGCTGCAAACTTGGCTAAGAAAACTCTGCATTTAACAGAGTCAAAAATGCTGCTTGAAGAATTACTGAAATGTCAAGCAGCATATGAAAGGACTCTGTTTTCATGTCGTCTCCATGCTCTAACTCCTTTCACATCCCTCAGGATTAAAATTTTTTTAAATTGCATTAAGAAAAAAAGGCTCAGTCATCTCAAGTGTTCAATTTAAATGCCAAGTTCCTGCCTGGATTCACATTTTCTAACTCAGTTTTAAATCATTGAAACCAGATTGAATAGGGTGCCTTGTTTGGTAAGCATTGCTGTTCACCTACCAACAGAACTTCAGTGTGGTCCCCTTCTGCAGACATTTACCCATTGACTTGATGGGGACTGCTCAGGAGAGGAAGGACCTTTCAGGCCTGCTGTGTATCCTTTTGTCTCATCCTGCTATTAAATCTCTCTGAAAAAGAAACATCAGCATTCTGGAAACTGATACTGTAGAAAATTCTGTGGTCCTTTGAACCCTGGAAGTGTCAATTCATGTTTTGCTTACAGAAGCAAAGCAAATGGCTTTTCCCCCTCAAATAACATAGCAATTGCTTTCTCTTTCTTGTCCACGGGACATTAAACAGTTGGGCGTGTTTGTTACACAAAATCAAATTAAAGAGAGCATGACAAGTTAGTGTGTGTCTTCTCTGAAGAATGAGAAAGAACTGATGCTCACGTTCCTGCCAGCACCACCCGCTTGTCTAACCTGGAAGCTCCAAATGCCATTTCCCAAGATAAGAGCAGTTCACGGGTGCTCTCCAGGTGTGGAGCTGTGATTTACCTCACTGCTAAGGGGGGCTAACTGTGGCCATGCATTTCAAGGGTGGAAAAGTCTTCCACCAGCATTCTTGTTTCTCCCTATTCATATGTCTCTGTATGTCCTCCCACATCACACTCCCTGTAAGCTGGATCCACTTATAGTTTCCTGTTTGGAAGTGGAAAGCAAATATTCCCCTTGGTCTACTCCCAGGATAACCACTACCAGCTCCAAAAACCCTAGTTAACTTCTGCTCTGTCCAAGCAGGATGCTCTTCCAAACATGCAGCCGCTGATCCAGGGGGCACAGCCATATCCTGCTGAAGAGGGAAAAGAAAAACAAGCACCAGAGCTTCAGCTGCATCGCCACAGGTAGTCATGGTTGTGGTGCCATTGCAATCCCTCTGGATTTGAGCAGCTCCACAGCAAACTCATAGCACCTTGAAGAGCCATGGCTGGCTTCACACTGGAAGTCCAGCAACATCCCATGTCTATGCCCTGGTTACATTGAGCTCCATGAGGCATTTCCCAGCACTCTGAGCTTTTTCCCTATCCTTCTCCTAGGAAGACTTTTATGATGGCAACATCCTGCCCCAGATGTAGGAAAAGAGAAAGGGTGTAGGGAAACGGTGGTGAAGAACAGAGCAGATATTAATATCCTCAGTGATGTCTGTATTTCATTTTCCCTTTTAATGTACAGGCTGTCACTTCAGCTGTAGTTGCTGTTTCCCTGATAGCACCTGGTTTGGGAGTTAAAGAAGAATATACTTTCTGTTGCTATTGCCCTGTAGGACAGACTAGCTTACTCTAAAGTTTCTCCTTGTTATGTATGTACATGTGAGTTTAATAAAGTTTGTTGTCTGTTTAAGCTCTGTTGTTGTCTACTCAATTGTAGGGAAGTGGGAAGCTGTCTTTATGCCAGAAGTTTTCTTATTGAAGTCTAACAAAACAGTGAGCAATCTAGACAAACCAATAACATGGCACCCTGTGTCCCCAAACCAGCATGCACTAAGAGCTTCATTAAAATCGATCTTGAATTCAGCAAGTAAATCAACACTCACCCAAGACAATACATTAAATTAATCAGGCACAAAATACCCCATACAGATCAGCAGGCCAAAAGTTTTTCAAAAGTAAGCACAACAGAAACCTTCAGTTCTTGGTCAATATCAAAGTACCATGATGTTTCACCACAAAGCAGCACATATAATTAGCAATCAATTACTCATTAAAATTGCCTTACGAAGCAAGACACGAGCACATACAACATCTCTAATTCCCTTTGTCTCACTGTGTTCTGGCCTTGTTTCATTATAAAAGCACCTCTAGGGTGTGCAAAAAGGCAAAAGGTCCCAGGCCCACTTGCTTGACTGGCAGAGTGTGGTGGGTACAGCAGACCATGACCAGGAGAGCTGGCTTCCTCATGATCCTGGAGGATGAGCCCTCTCACTGTTGGCAAACCCACCTTTCCTGCACAAACCCCAGACTTTCTGGGTGCAACTCCAGATGCCATGTCAGAAAGAGAATGGCACGGCAATGTCCTCCCTACATTGTCCCAAGCTACCAGTGCCTATGTCACTGGAAACAACCCAACTTCTCATCTTAGTTACCAGATCTCCCCAGACCTTAATACCATCTGCACCACCATGCAGGAGCATGGCCATGTTGCCCAGGAAATCCTGCCCAACAAGGAAACAATACCCCTTGTGATTATTGTATCTGCAAGGTTTGCAAATCTTGGAAGGGCAAATGATGGCAATGTTGTGGCTTGAGAGCCCCCTCCTCTGTCATTATTTCTAATACACCCCTATTTGTGCCTACCTGTTGGGCCATGACCTTCAATCAGCACCTCTCATGGTCAGCCTAACATTTGATTTTCCAACACCAGATGGGGAATCCATATTTCTAATGTAAGATTTCCAAGACAGCCACACATTACGTACCCCACTCCTATGGTACCAGGGGCTTTCTATCAACAAAAGTCTCCCCTAAGCATGGAGATACCAGAGACTGCAGCTTCCCAGAATGCCTGCATTCAGGAATTAACTAAGGTTAACACAGGGCCTGTGAAACAGACACGGATAAAATACCCTGATCACTAACAAAGTTTTAAAATAGGAAAAAAAGAAGATTTTCTGGGACCCCTGAAATATGGAGCTCTTATCCCCATGAAGCTCAGCAACAGGGACTCTGTAGGTAAAGACTACTCTCACTGTGCAGTGTGCTGCCCACAACTTTGCTTTGCCACGCAGCTGCACTAATACAGAGATTTAGAAATCTCCTTGCAAAGTCCATGTGGCCTTAAGGAGGTAAACCAGCAGTAGCCAGGAGATAATGCTTGAGAAAGGGTGAGTTTTATCTCCAAGGTGATTTGGATCGTTGAGCAGAGTTCTTGGTAAACTGGACTGTAAGATCCCATTTCTGAGAAATCACAGCAAACAAGGTGGCAGTAACTGGGAATTAAGACTGCAGGCGAAGTCCTTAGCAAAACCTGCTGCCTTGTGAAGTGATGCTGGTCCTTAGCGTGGCATATCAGCTAAGCAACGGCAGCAGGGGTCTCCTCCTTCTGAGGGCAGAGCCTGTGGGTTTGGAGTCGATGCGGGCACCTCTGCTGAGTGCTGGGCTGGGCAGGTGAGCCTCACAGTGCCAGAAAGCTTGCTCAGACCCAGGGCTGGTAATATGGGTGGAAGCACAGTTGCCCAGGGAGCAGTGAGGACAGGGAGCTCAGCCAGCTGACTCATGGTCATTTTTTATGCCACTGGCTTTCAGATAGACACCCAAAGAAAAAATAAAAAACAATCTTGGCACCAATTTGCTAGGAGAACATCCTAGAAGTATTTATTATTAAAAGGAGTGATTGAGCAGTGACATTCGGTGTTTCCATTTTTCAACCGTTTCTGTGCTTTTTCTTGTTTTTTTCCTTGCGGTCTTTGTAAAAACACCAGAATAATAGCAATTTATTAAGAACTGGCATTCACTCAAAATAGTTTCTCTTAATGTGAATGCTCTTACTGACATTGTAAAATTTATTTACAGTTTCTCTTTTTTCTTCTGTTCATTGTTTGGATGTACCATAGGACTCCAATAAAAAAACCTGTTATTTATGCTAAACAGATGTACTGTGAAAAGCCAGATGCAACATGGATGATAACCAGCAGCTGGGCAAGCCCTAACAGATAAGCTGCCTTTAATTGCAGGTTTCCTTCATGCCCCCGTTGTTACAGCAGTTTTCTCTGCTGCTCACTTCAATTGCAAGTGCACAGAGATGCTTACAATGAAGATCGAAGTCCCCATTACTTCCACAGGCTAAAGAATAAAGTGTGGGGATCACTTCCAAAGTGCTTTCTCAGTCTCCCCATGCCTCCTGATGCCTTTGCCAATTGAAAAAAAAAAAGAAAGAAAAAGAGACAAAAAACTAAACAAGGTGAGTTTGAAACAAAACATGCTAAAAACAACCAACCAACCAACCAAGACACAAAAGTGTGCAGGAAGTCGAAGCGCTGCCTGGATTTGCCTCAGACACATTTACCTCCAGAAATGGTCCCTCAAGACCAAGTAGAATTTGCCCTTGACAAAATACAGAAATGGCAAAGCAAACACCAATACAGCATGCTCATGGCAAGGTGCACTCCAACTTCACCCTGTGGTACCTCAGGTGCACACAGGCCCATACTACAGTGTTTAAGATCAAGAAAGTGACAAACACATAAAACCAGGTAGTACCCAGGATGGCCAAATGCTTGTTGCCTGTGTAGTCAGTGAAACAGGATGCACAAGGCACCCTACAGGTGGGGTGTGCTGGGTTCATGATTTCTTCACCCCTTTGACCACCTACAGAGCCAGAGCCTAGAGAGTAGGTGGTCTGAATCAGACATCACGCCTCCAGCCAAAGACATCAAAGTAAGCAAGCAGGACACAGCTGGATACTCCTGCTTTCTCCTGAATATGAGCCATTCCTGTGGCTCTCCTGCACAATTCATTCCATTGACATTGTTCAGTTCTCATCCTATAAAGCATTCATTTAACTCAGAGGGGAAGAAGAAGTCAATTAAAAGAAAAGTCCAACAATAAATTCTTACCATATTGTCCCAAACAGAAAGCTGGACCAGGTGCAGACCCATGATTAGGATCAAGTGATGGGAAGACGTCCAAAGTGTTCAGCTGAGCTGATTGCAGAGGTCTGGCTTTGAAGACTGTATACAATGAGGCAAGTCATTAATAGTTGGACTTTCACCTTCCTGGTAATAGATGAGTCATGCATTTGAGAAGGTCAGTGCCTTGGATTTTAAGAATGGAAGAGAAAATCAGGATCATTTGCCCTGCAGAACACAGGCTGTACAATTTTCTTTCAGCATTAAGACTGCAGGAGGCTAATACCTCCATCTATCTAGTGCCTTAGTTCCTTCTGCATGATTGGGCCAGGAGGGAACCACTGACCCAATTTATAGCTAAGCATGTCAACCTCAGTAACAACAGAGTTTTGCTAAGACCTGGGTATTTGTTACTCTTAACGTTTCTCACTTTCTTCATCTGCAGCCAAGCTCTCCAGTTCATAAATGATATTCCATTAGAGCAATCTGATCCCTTGTTTACACGATAGCCCAACAGCAAACTGATTAACCTTTGGAGAAATGTTCTCAAAAGCACAAGTAGTCTCACTCTTCTTCAGTGTGTCAGTTGGTGTCACACTCAGAACATCAACAAGGAGAGTTCCTCACAATATGAGGTTCTTTGAGCCTATTAGGGGAGCAGCCACAGGGGCATTTGGCTCTTAAAGCAAAGGGAAGCAATAGTTTCACTACCTGATAAGGCAAGGCAAGAGAACCACCTGGCTCCAAAGCTGGGCTTTCTGAAGAGCTTCACACTGTCAGGTGGGAAAAACAATGAGTGTGTGTGGTAGCAGGTTTTTGAGGGAGATACTTGTAAAAAGAAATCATTTTGACGTGGGCCGATATGCCTGACATGTAAGATGCACAAAAGGGAATACTAAAGTAGTGTAAATAAAGCCTAAAACTGAGAGCTATGGAGTGTTTCTGTATCCTACCTGCCAGCAAGTACCAGCCTGCCCTCAGAACACAGCTGGTTTTGGATACGTTAGCACGCTGCTTAAACAGAAATGGCTGATAGATCTTCCTGAGGCAAATTAAGGGGAAAAAAAAAAAAGATAGGACCAAACAGTTCTAGGTCCTTCCTTCCCCCAGGAAAGCAAGGAGCATCCAAAGCTTCCAAATAACACATTTAATTTTCACATACCTCTTCCACCCACTCAGTGTGGGTACGCTGGAATGAATTCACTATCTTCCAATATTTCATTTGCAAGAAAGGTTCCTGTAAACAAAAGACAAGTGTCCAGGTGACAGATTTCCAGACAGCTTCATATCTTCTCCTTCAAAAAACTTTGGAAAGAGAAAATGCAGACTAGCCTCCCAAGCTGTATCTTCTTTCCTGAGATATTCCTATGGCTCTTTTTCTCAATACTAGGTTTGGAAGACATCTATACCCCCTTGAGAGAGAAATTAAAACCATAGGCATTCCCAGAATAACCGCATTTATACAACCTTCCCTTCCCTAGAGGAGAAAGAGAGGGACTCAAAACCTCGAAGACTGTTTTAGAACTTTTATGGCACTTAGCCAGAAATTTCAAGAAGACTTCATGTGGCCATAAATCAGCTGAATTGGTCAATGCGCGGAGACAACTGACCAAAACACTCACCCAATGCTAGATGATTCACATTTCTGAGAAAGCCATGAAACAAAAGATTTTGCCTTAAAAAGCAATGGGTTCCTCAACTTTTCTCAGAGTCATAACACACTGCATGAACTTTCATGATTACAAGGACCAACATAACTGAATTAATGAAGAAGTATATCCAGACATTTCTTTCAGTGCTGGCAAAGCGACAAGTACACACCAGGTGACCAAAACCTCAACATTCTACATGACTAGCCATAAAATTCTTGCACAAATATTCTCACAAACACTTCCATCCTGCTGAATGACAACAACTAGAATCTTTTTTTGTTATATCCCCTATTCACATATATTTTTATGTCAGGAAATTCTATGTCTCCTTTCAAGCTGAGTGCCTTTTCTCGTGGCTACAGAGGCCATTATTCTGGAGGAAGAACTATCCAGTCTGCCTGTCTCTCTTGTTTTTTAAATGCAATTGTCCTTTAGAGTGAACAAAGGCCTTCTGAAAAATCAGTACTCTTGAAGATACATTCACTCAAGATGAATACACAGTGGGGTTATTTTGGAATAGGGAAAGTATTTTATCCCATATAGTTCTAGGAATAAATATAGATACCAGCAGCAAGTATTTCAAACACTCTGGAGACTCCTTTGGGCTTCCTGGGTTCTGTTTATCCTACAAGACAGCCAGCTGAACTATTCTGACTGAATTCTTTGCTGCTTATATATATGCTGTGAATTGGGAAAAGGGACTTCTCAAGCTATTTTCCAAATGGTGGCCTCAGCTGGTAGAAAAGAGGCAAGGAGATTCCTTTGTGTTATCCTTGCCTTTTCTGTCCAGTGCTAGAGTTCCTAGTGCTTTATGTGAAACTCTTTTTGAGGAAAGTTTCGTTATGCTCCCATCTCCATTGAGAATAATGGCAGATTCATTTCCAAACAATGCTCAGAAATAGATCACTTGTAGCCCAAAGGCTTCAACAGCTTTTACTTCAGTGTTAACTAGCTAGTAAAGGTCTTCGTAAATGTCCTGTGCAGATCTCCCTTAAGGAAGTGATGACATCACCTTAGCAGTAAAATACACCATCCTCAAGCACCCACATCAGGATTTATCATGGCCACAGTGACTGCTAAGATCTAGAGAGCTCCCAGCTAAGTGGAAACGACACCAAGCCGTGTGGTTCAGTTGATATGCTGGAGGGAAGGAATGCCATCCAGAGGGACCTTGACACGGTTGTGAGGTGGGCTGATGCCAACCTGTCGTGGTTTAACCCCAACCAGACAGCTTTCACTCACTCACTCCCCCCCTTTCTTGCCCTCCCGCTACTCTCAGAGGGATGGAGAGGAGAATCAGAAAGAATGCAACTCCCACGGGTTGAGATAAGAACAGTTCAGTAACTAAGGTATAACACAAATCACTACTGCTACCACCAATAATAGTAATGATAAAGGAAATAACAAGGGAAGAGAATACAACACCCCATCACCAGGCAACCAATAACTTGCCCCCCCAGCCCGACCAAGCACCGACCGATACCTCCTCCAACCCTGCAGTCCACCTAGCCCTTCTGGGTAACTCCCAGTTACCTCCTGGGCATGACGTGCTGTGGTATGGAATACCTCTTTGGTCAGTTTGGGTCAGGTGTCCTGTCTCTGCTTCCTCCCAGCTTCCCCTCCTCCCTGGCAGAGCATGAGACTCACAAAGTCCTTGGCCAAACCAAAACATCATTGTTATCAGCTTTGTTCCCAGCCCGAAAGCCAAAACACAGCACTGCACCAGCTACTAAGAAGGAGAAAAAATGACTGCTGCTGATAAAACCAGGACATTATCCACCCCTTATTCCATACCATTCACGTCATCCTCAGATCCTACATTTTCAATATACCATCACTCTGATCTCAGTGTACTTCTATCTTAGTGCATGGACTAGTCCCTATAAAGCTGCTGAGTCCATCTGGTCCATGATGTCAGGCTCCATCTCTTGTAACAGTCTTTCAGAACAGGAGAGGCTGCGTGCAGTATTGGGTCGTTGCCTGCTGATGCCGATCATTCCCTTACTGTAGAACTTGTCTGGTTCTGTCAAAGTTACAACATTCTGAAGCTGTGAGATCAGTGAAGTTTAACCTCATGAAGTTTAACCATGCCAAGTGCAAGGTCCTACACCTGGGTCAGAGCAATCCCAGGCACAGCTGCAGGTTGGGCAGAGAAGAGATTCAGAGCAGCCCTGCAGAGAAGGACTTGGGGGTGCTGGTCGATGAGAAAATGAACATGAGCTGGCTTCAGTGTGCACTTGCAGCCCAGAAAGCCAACCGTATCCTGGGCTGCATCAAAAGGAGTGTGACCAGCAGGTCGAAGGAGGTGATCCTGCCCCTCTGCTCTGCTCTCATGAGACCTCACCTGGAGTATTGGGTGCAGTTCTGGTGTCCTCAACATAAAAAGGACATGGAACTGTTGGAACAAGTCTAGAGAAGGGCCACGAGGATGATCAGGGGACTGGAGCACCTCCTGTATGAAGACAGGCTGAGAAAGGTGGGGCTGTTCAGCCTGGAGAAGAGAAGGCTGCGTACAGACCTCATAGCAGCCTTACAGTATCTGAAGGGGGCCTATAGGGATGCTGGGGAGGGACCCTTCATTAGGGACTGTAGTGATAGGACAAGGGGTAACAGGTTCAAACTTAAACAGGGAAAGTTTAG